AACTAATACGCTATCAAAGTTTTATATATTTATATTTCTCATTCAACCACAGTTAAATTCACTCTATCTAGGAGGCACAATTTAAATGGACAGTATTATTTATAATAACACGCTGGAATGAAAACAAGCAAAAATGAAATAAAAGTAATGACTTTCTATTTCTTGCCTTTTTTAAAAATGTAAGGAGTAGAAAGTACAGATAATTGTGTGAAAATGTAAGAAGTAAAAAGCAGGCTGAAAATGAATCACTCAAGTAAAGTACAGATACCCAAAAATTCTACTTAAGTACAGTAACAAAGTATTTGTACTTAGMTACTTTACAARTCTGCTGTGGACCTTCCTTGRTAGGATGATGATGATGTTGTCCTTGCTGAAGGTGGTGAGAGTGTCCCTCTCTTCTCTGCCAGTGTTTGAAGGTGGAGGTTTGGCATTGCTGAGGCAGGCTGAAACTTTGTTCCTAAGTTGTTCTGCTTCAAATTCTGGGATTTAGCTGTTGTGAACGTCTGATTCAGTTGCTGTGATGATCTCCACCAGAGGAATTCTTCTTGGTGCAGCCGCAAAATTCAAAGCCCTGGCAAGGAATTCAGTCTCCAGCTGGATGAGCTGTCTGTCAGATAAAATATAAAGTATTCTACTCTTCCTTCATCAAGCAAGTATGACTTTAAGATTTTAAGCAAAACTCTAAATGTTTGAGTCATTGGCTTTAAGGTATTTATTGCAAACTCTATAATAAACCATAAAAAAGATTAACCTGAACTATGTGAAATGGTTGGAAAGAATTTATTCCAGTAGTTTTCCAAATACACTGATTGGCAATTCTGAAATGTGGGCACTCAGTGGAAACAAGGCACTGAATGAAGTCAAAACACAAGAAGCTTAATCAACCTAAATTAATCTAGTAGTAGTTTGTTGATAAACAAATATAGTGGAATCAGACAAATGTATAATCTTAGAGGAGACATTGTTTTTTACTTCATTGTAAAACCAATTTTTAATAAAACTTTATTGGAGAAATTTGATGTTTTTTTCAGGTGCCTTTTCCTGTTGTATTTATTTGTTTTCTCTCTGTTTGCYCAATGCTTAAGAAAYAAAGGAGCCAGACCACAGCAGAAAWTTTTACTATAAATTTATAACATGTTGTACGTAGGAGGCAAAAATAGTACAAACTGAGAAATGTGGAAATTTAGTTCGGAGAAGTAAGAAATTTTTCAAAGTAATGTGTGACGATCCCTGGAAAGATAATGCCACTGATGAAATGAAAACACACAGCTGTACTTCAGTACACAAAGTCAAAACATGCACACACACACACACACACACACCAGACAGGAAGACAATTTCAGACTGTGGTGTGTATTAACTTTAATGTCTTTTCTCTGTCTTCCTCCTTATCCTTTCCTCATCTTTCTTATCCCCTTTTATTCCTTCCCCCTCCCTGGGCTTCCACGGACTCAGAGAAAGGTAACTGCTCYTTGTGGCGTGCTCTGAATGTGATCCCACTCCTCCCTTTGTTTCCATTATCTGTACATCAGAACCGTCTCGCTTCTTTCTGAAGCCACATCTGTCGCTCCGGCCATCGAATCGTCGGCTTTGCTTTGTGTCACCGGTGGACTCTCCAGGAGCTACTGTAGGTCTAAATCACTGAAGTCAAATTATCATCGAGGRCAGCGTGGCCACGGGCTGTTTCCCATTAAGAGCTGTGTGTTGTTTTGTGGAATTGTGATCCCTCAGAGAAAGGGTACAGAAGTCATAAAAGAATCATTTGTGGCACCCGAGGCAAGGACATTCATGCTGCCTTGGCAATGCACCGCTCAGATGTCCCTGAGCAAAGTGGACACACACACACACACACACACACACACCGAGTTGAACATCTTCTATCACACTTTCCTTTCTGGATACAGGCAGAGAGCATTATCGACCCAAAGTGTGTGAGCACACAATTAAGCAGCGGAGACAGCCCGGGTAATGGACTCATAAACACAAAGAGCCTCCTGTGATAAATGCCAGATGTGTGTCTGCCATATTTCTATTTTTGCCTAGTTTTTTTTTTTTTTTTTTACTAGGTAGTGTGTGATGCARGCATCTGGAGACATCTAGTTGTCTTCTCATCATGTCCTTCCTCTGATTACTCATTGTCATTTCTGCTCCGGCTGCAAGCACATCCACTCTTTGTCTCACCTGTTAACGAGAAGGAAATATGTGCATTTCTCATCTTTGGTGTGTGTGTGTGTGTGTGTGTGTGTGTGTGTGTGCTACCTCCCAGGTGTTGCTGGTTTTCATCTGCCTCCCACACGCTGCATAAAGTTGTTGTTTTTTTCCTCAGTGGAGCTGCCTCCCTCAAGTCTCATCCTCACTTTTTGTGTTTTTCTGTGTCATGTGGCACCGCTGTGATGCTTTTGTTGTGTAGATATGCRTCAACATTAATGTATATTTTTGTGTGTTGTCGTTGTTAAAGATAAAAAATGAAATCATTTGTTCAGGAACAACCAGACAGACAGACTTTTATTGTGGCGAGATGGCACATCAAAAGAGATTTAAGTCAAATGTTTCATTAATAGGTTAATTGCAGCGGCTGAAGGCAGCCTTGATAAAATGGCTTAAAAAAATAAAGTATTTCAACATGAAGGAGGAAGCTCATTACAGCACAGCTCAACAAACAGATGTCTCAAGAGGAAGTAAATAATAAGCATTGTTTTATGGTCGTTTGTGACTTTTATTTTTCTCCTCACAATTTGTTTGTTTTCTCCTCTCACCCATTTTTGACTGTTGTCAGACAGATGAGAAATCAAACAAGTGAAAGAGGAATGAATGTAGAGTTCCTGATGTAAAACAGATCGCTGATCCAAGGATGAAGTCTTTTCTTGTTTGCAATCAGCCGCCTACTTGCTCTGTCAACACGGAGGTACTGTGGGTGACAAAGTGGGAAAAGTACAAAAGTAAGCATATCTAAAATGGCTAAAGAAAACAGGTCACACTAATATTTTGTTGGACCACCTTTAGCTTTCATTATGGCACACAGTTACTGTGGCATTGTTTCAATAAGCTTCTGCAGTGTCACAAGATTTGTTTCCATCCAATTTTCCTTATTTTTTTCACCAAGATCTTATAGTGATGATGGTAGAATCTGACTGCTGTGCATCACTTCACCTGCCTCTTCTTACCCTGATGCACCATCACTGTGGAACAGGGTCAATCTGGACTCAGACCACATGAACTTCCATTGTTCCAGAGACCAATCTTTATGATCCCTACCAAACTGAAGCCTTTTTTCTAGTTAGCCTGATTAGTGGTTTTCTTAAGGCTACACAGCTGTTCAGTCCCAATCCCTTTAGTTCCCTTCACAATGAATGAATGAATGAATTTATTTGATCAGGACAGTCTGCAATTAAAACATAATGTGATTTGATGCCTAAGGCTAATTTACATCTCTAGTCCCTTCAAACAGTAGTGTGCACATCATTTTCACTATTAAGCATAACCCGGAGTTCTACTGTTGTTTTTCTTCGATTTGATTTCACCAAACGTTTAAGTTATTACCGATCATTCAGGATTTTTTCTGGCCTTATTTCTTCCTCGAAGACAATGGGTCCCCARTATCCTTCCAGTTTTAAATGATGTGTTGGACAGTCCTTAACCCCATTGTAGTAGTTTCTGCAAGATGTTTCCTGTGCTTGATGCATGCCAATGATTTGACACTTCTCAAACAGACATGACATCTTTTCCACAACCACAGGWTGTYTCTTTCYACATGYCTGTTTAAGAAARGAGAAGCAAATCATTGCACCAGTTGGGGTTAAATAACGTGTTTCCAGCTGAAAGATAATCGCCCATGCAGCAATTATCCATTAGMWGGCTTGTACCTATTTGCTTCGTTAAATCCAGGTAGCAACTRTTTTTTTGGCCAGGCAGTGTATATGACAGTACAAACACAAGGAAGACAKATAATTAATTTTATTTTTGTTTGTCTTTAGGCAACAATATTTAACTTGTAGACAAGGATAGTTTAGTTGAAAAYGTTATTAAAAGGCAAAAGTGGACAAAAATGTGTTGCCAATGTGTCTGTCTGTCATCAAAACATCTTATGAACCGCTGAACAAATTTGAATGAAACTGTCAAAAACTTGAACATCTACAACCTGATGGCTGCCAAATTCAACTGAGTTTAGAAAAAAAACTGGTTTAAAATAGACATGTCATGCTTTTATATCCATCTTTTTTACATTTAAATTATTTATTTGGGGTCTATATAAAGTGGAACTGCAATGCTTTGGTCTGAATTCCTCCTTATTGTAACTCCACAAGCCCAACTTTCACCCCTTTTCTGAGGTGTGTCTCAGATCAACTTATTTTGACGCTGTCTCTTTAAATCCAAATGAGGCTCTTAACACCCTGAACGAAGACAAAAAATAACATTTTAACAATTACCTATTAATGAAACATTTTACTTGAAGCCTTTTTGATCTGCTGTCTCACCACTGAACAAATAACTATCAGCTGTAACTGAGAGAGAGACACCGACTGACTGACCGATAATGTATATGTAATGATCTGATTAAAACTAAATATTACACAAAGAGCAGAATTTCCTCAAAATGGAATGCAGCCCTCATTAATACACCTCAGGTCACATTATCTGTTGTGAAATATGCTGACATGGAAAACTACACCTTTCTGTCTGTTCTGTTKAATTCTCAAAGGTGCACACTCAGCATGTTTCCCTTAAATGTTCAGTTTTTTTCCCTTTAATCATATTTTAGAAATTTGTCCTTTTTTGTAAATTCATGAATGTTAGAAGGCAGCTGGACAYTGTGGAAAAGCCTGTAAATAATTACTTACAGACATTTAATCAAAGTTTAAAAACTGCTTATTATCGTGGTGCCCTTCAGATTCCAGAGCAGAGATTCTTAACTTTGTGGAGCCTTTATCAAAGAACTGTGTGGTTCCCATGCTGTCAAGATCCACTGAAGGAAAAAAAAATATTGATTTACTGTCTCACGTGCATGAAAAATTCACCTCGGATCCTTCCTGTGTCTTCTGTTCATTAATCAGGGATTTCGCCTATGTGGCCAGAGACAAAAACACGCGGGTGCTGAAGTGCCACGTGTTTCGATGTGATACTCCTGCTGCAGCCATCGCCACAAGTCTCCACGAAATCTGTTCCAAGGTGAGCATCTCTGCCATTGTCTCCTAAAGGAATCGCATTGTCCTATGAGACAAACCAGCTTTGTTTCATACAGTTAAGCAGAACAGCTGCTCAGAMCATACGCCATGCATGTTGCAGAAAATCAACAAGACTGGAAACACAGCAGACAGTATTTTACCTGGGCTGCTTTTAACTTCAGATAAAAGATAATAACGTAAATCACCGAACTCACCTGCTGTTTCGGTTCTGACACAGTGGCGTGTGTGATGCAGAACTGCGTTCAGTCCAACCAGTTTAACTGGCAGCATGARCAGTTAGTGGATAGCACTGTTCAGATTGGGCCTGGAGTCTTTCTATGTTGAGTTTGAATCTCCTGTTTMTGTGGGTTTTCTACGGGGTCTCTGGTTTTCTTCCACTGTTCAAAACGTGCATCTTAGGTCTAAGTCTGCCTTGGGAAAGAGATCCATTATCTCAGTGGGATTTGCATGGTTAAATAAAGATTAATGAATAAAAATAATTAAACAATTAGACATTTTAAACTCCAAACCTTCAGCTAGGAACACCGAGCTCACCCACTGAGGAAACTCTAAAGAGAAGAACCAACCGACACGCTACATGAGCTACAGATGGAAAAAAGCTCAGAATCACAGAGCAAACAAAACTTGGAGAGCAGCATGAACAAAAAGCTTTCTTTACTGCAACGAAGAGCTGCTGAGGCGTCGAGCACAGGATGGCCTTGATTTTTATGAGTTTTATGTACTTAAATGATTTCATCTGCAAGCTTGTGTTACAAACAAGAAAAACTACAACAAGCATTGAGACAGCATTGGCCTAACCTTAATCTTAAATGACTCGGATCTGTGTCTGGGACAAACATTCTTGATTGGAACATCTTTAGTTCTTCTAAAACCTACCCAGCCTTTGTCTCTGCCCTGCTYTCAACAGTTCATAATGAAAAACTATCAGATTTGCTTTTACGAATTTGCAGCTTTTTATATAAGATTCCTTCAGATTTGCTTCCACTGATGAAGGATTTTATCACAAACCTAACGGAGCACTGTTGCCTCGCAACAAGTTCCTGAGTTCAACTCCTGGCTGGGACTTTTTTTGCAAGAGATTTGCACGTCCTCCCTGTGCACGTGTGGGTTTTCTCCAGCCACCCCAGTTTCCTCCCACAGCCTGTAGTCCTGGTGAGCTAGTGTCTCTCCAGAGATCAATAAGCGAGAGGCAGAGGTAGAACCGGGACAAGTCACCGGTCCATCGCAGGGCCACACAGACAAACAACCAATCACACTCACGTCTAGGGTCAATTTYGAGCCAGTAAATCTGACATGCATGCTTTTGGACTGTGGGAGGAAACCTGAGTACCCAGAGAAAACCCACACGTGCCTAGAGAAATGGACCCATAWGGGAATTGAACTCAGGACTTAGCATCTGTAAGGCGTCCGACCGAGCAACCAGAGTCTGGTGAAATACTTCAGCTCAGGCAAAGAAAATTTATCAATGCGTATATCTTTTTCTGTGAACGTTTATAGCGTTTTTAAAGAGTCCTTACCTCAATCTGAGGACGATCCTTTAACCTCTTGAGCCCCATGCTCATGCAAAACAGCTTTTTTCTATTTTCTATTTCTTTTAACTTCAGATCTGTTAGTTGAACCTGGACTTGTTTGGTATCAAAAGAAATCTAAGAATCTTGGCTAAAGGCTCATGGAAACTATTTTTACATTCACCAAACCCAGTTCAAACGTCAAGCAGTTGACTCAGAAAGTAAACAAACTGTACAAAATGGCGTCATTGCAAATCTGTAAATATATTACTGCAAATCTGTAAAAGTAAATTTTTGACATTTTTTAAAGCAAGTCAAGGTAGATACCTAAATATGTTGTAAAGTGTGTTGAAAGTTTTTTTCCTCTTGATTTTGAGTGAATATGATCCAACTGAAGTCAAATATAATTATTTTATATAATATATGGTGACAAATAAATGTTTGGATATTTTTCAAAAGAACAAACATTCAATAACAAGTCTTTTCAGTCAGGTAAGGAAAATAAATAACTTTTGGAAGTAAAAACAAGATTTCTTAACATTTATTAATGATACCATCATGGTCTGTCCTATACAGAATGACAAAATGCAAAATTATTTCTTTACAAAAACCTCTGAAATTTTGCTCCAGTTCATTTCAGCAGCATCAATCTTTGCACAGGCAAAGTCCACAAGTGGATTTATGGTTTCCAAGAGTTTTTAGCCTGATTCATTATGGTTTTAAACAGGCTTTATACTGTCTAATGAAAAAAATCTCCCAAGTGTTAGCTTTATTTTGATACTAAGATTATTTAAGTAGAGTTTTTAAATGCTGAGATACACTTAKTTACATTTTGGCATGGTATTTTGAGAAAATACTTCAAGAAAACCCCTTGGGGCTTAAAAAGTTGAACTAAATATTTGGGTTCTTCCTAGGTTTCATTGTGAAACGAGTCTGTTCTGACTTATAAGAGTTTTAGGAGTTTAAGGACTAGCATGTGGTCCATCATTTCTAGGTTCTGACCATTACTACTTTAAGAAATTCTCAAAGGAAGATGCAGGAGTATATGTTTGTATTTTTCAATTTGTGATGGCTCTGAAAGGTGAATTCCTTGCATTTTTCTGACYTATGAAGGTGATGTTTGATGGAGGWGATAAATAACTCGATTCAGATTGGCACACATTAATAACCTTCTGCACACAAAGAGACACGAGCCCATCCTCAGTCAGGTCAGCAGTGACCTTGTGAAGGATGACAACATAGAGAGAGATTCTCCCTGAGAGGCTTAATGACCCATTTACAGAAAAAAAAAATATTTTAATTTCTTTGCATCTCTAACCCCAAAACTGAAGGAAGAGAATATCTGCATCAGTATGAGTGTCCATGACTCCTCCTCTCACCCTCACTCTCCCTATTTTAAAAAGCAGATTGGTAGATCTCGCTTTACTGCAGGGGACAAACTTAGTGACCCGAGTTCTGCAGCTGTGCGGCACATTGAATGGTCCCTTTTTTCCCCGTGTGAAGGAATTCATSCTTTTTCTTCATGTTCCCCTGTTAGTAGAGTCGCAGACTCACTGTAGACGTTGATTAATGATGCTTATAATTAACTATCTGTAGAGGGTGCGTTGGTTCAGTGCAGGGGCCGTGCAGATAATTCAACTCTCGTTAAAGATCGTGTTCGCTCCAGCACAAGAGCTGAGGGCGGAAAAAGACGATACTTGTTTGATTTGTAGGATACGATTTTTTTTTTAAGTTCTCATAAAAATCCAAACTACAGAACCGTATCATTTGTCTTGGTGACACTTTTTTATTTATTTCAACATAGACTTTATAATTCACAGTTCTATAGCTGAAAGTTGGCCACAAAATTACTATTTAGCTTATAGAACAGTTGCTTAATTAATCATGTTAGGCTGTTTGAAAGTGCACTTTTTCGTGAAGTTTATATGTGTGTGTTTTAACAATTACGGGGTATACAGACCAAAATCTGAATTTTTACATGATTTTTTCAAAGGTATTCATTAACGTCAGCTGAACATACAACACTGCTAATTTAATGTTGTGAACTCTTGATGTTATTTCTGTGCTTCAAATTAAGTGTTTGCTAAAATAATCCGACTTGAGCTCTGTTCAGATGTTTTCTTTTTTGTCTTCATTTTTATTTGTGATATCCTCCTCTTCAGGTTTTAGTTCAAAGTTTTGTTTTTTCTTAATCCACATATTTTCTTTTTTAATTTTCCTACTCACCTCCTGTTTTTTTTTCTTTTCTCTTCTTCTGCAAAACTCTTTCCTTTCAGATTATGGCTGAAAGAAAAAGTGCTAAGGCTGCAGCTGGCAGCTCCTCCCAGAACGGCTCTGATGTACCCCTACAAGGTACACACACACACACACACACACAGCCATGTTTAATTCATTTCATTTTAAATATTGCTCTTATTTGACTGTTTTAACAATTAACCTATAAACAATCACCCTAAAAATGTCATGATTTATATGATGAGTACTTGCTTATTTATCCTTAAAAAGGCAGAAGGTCTCATTGGTTTAAACTGATTTATGTCCTGACAACATGAGCAACACGACATAATACACAAATGTACTCATTTTCTTTCTGCTTTGTTCTTTTTATTTCCCATGTGGATGAAAAGGATTTTCCAAACCATGTGCTACTTTCATGTTGTAGTCTCTTGTCTACTAATATACAATCCCTCCACATCTGAAACCACTTGTGTGTGTTTTTACACAAATCTGATGCTTCAGGAGCTGCTGTGAACAGTTGTACAGAGACGATCGTCATTTTGCACACATAACTCTGACTTCAGRGAAATATGTCCACCCTCAACAATCGTAACGTTTTGCCCATTGATTAACTTTTTTAAATTTTCTCMGCTTGTTTGTCTGTTACGCGAGTAATTACTGGGAACAATTCCTCGTCAACGATAACTTAAGCTGGGGTACATGTCCGCTGAGTGGAAGCATCACAAGGCTTGGGAATAAAAAAGAACCATATAAGCTCCTCACTTCCACAAACAGTCGACTTCATTAAATCCAAATTAGAGTTTGAGGCGATGCATGATTCTGCACAGCTTCCATCCCAACCCAAAGATCAAATAATGCACTGGTGAAGGATTGTGTGCGTCTTCTGCAGCTGCAGCAGGCTTGAACTCATATACTTTGTCTTTTTTTTAAGTCATTGATATTCAGAGGCGTTGCAATGGATACGCCAGTCTATTACCTCTAATGGTGGGCTCACGCTGGCGTTACGGTGGATGGAAACAGTTCCTTTCACTGACTGAATTACAGTAGATATAGAACTATAGTCTTACGTTGGGACACAGTTGAAGAGCCTCGGCTGAAATGGTTCGAGATGAGCACCAGCTTCTTATARTGTCGCTCTGTTTTCATCAGATTGGGATGGTCCAAGCTCTGATTTAAAATTCTATTGAGCCACATAAAAATTTTTACATTTTATATCTCAATTGTACAGTTAAGGGAATTTAGACTGTTTTTCATCAGGGATGGGCAACTTAAATGATGGAAGAGGCCACATTTTTTATAACCCTACCAGAGGGCCACACAGTGCTGTACGTAAATGTAARAAAACTGACGAAACACACTGTCAAATACCCCTCAGATCACCTGAAACGACTTGATTTTTTTTTTTACGCCCAGTTTTCGGTCCTCCATTCTTAGCTACATCTAAACGTCTCTTCCTCACTGGAAAATGTGTGCACAAGGTGGCGTTTGCYTTGGAGGRGCCATCTAGTGGCAAACTMTCTCATTACAACCAATTCTATGCCACTGAGACACTTTWATCCATTTTAATAATTTTCAAAACTTAATCTAAGAGCTGCTTTAATGCTCTTTTTAAGTACAAACATATTTTGTGGTGGGGGGGCTTCAATGAAAGGCCAAACAGAAGTCTCCCGTGGGCCAGATGTGACCCATAGACCACCAGTTGCCCATCCCTGGTTAAAACATGTGAAATATTACTCCACATACTTTGCAGTATTCTGGTAATCCAGTTAGAAATCTGATTTTTGCAAAGTGGCAGATTAGTGTCATTGTACAGTATATTTGCCATTTAGGTATAATAAACTGCATGTAATTTAGATTTTTGCTTTTTGTCTCATCAGAAATCATCTCCAGCTTGTCGAGCTAACTGTATTTTGTACCAGTAGTGAGTTTCTGACGGTACAGCTCTTCAGTGATTGAGATCCAGGGGACCTCTTTGATCTCTCATTGTGCACTGTGGTCCTCTCCGCCTGAAGGCCGAGACATAAACAGACACAGCGGGGTTTCCACACACTGACAGCTCTCTGAAATCCAACATGCCTTTGTGTGTTTTCCATGCTCCAGTCACATCAGCAGCACAAATACATTTAAATYTTCACCACAGTTTGTTTATTTCTCCGCTTTAAGCCAATTATCTTCTGTGTACTCCTGTTTTGAAACTTGCTGTCAGATCTTGTCCTCTAATAAAATTCCCCATGGATGARTTGAGTCTGTGCCTCTTTTTTCCTCTCTCTCTCTCTCCGTAGAGTTTCCCATGCCAAAGACTGAGCTGGTGCAGAAGTTTCACGTSCTGTATCTGGGTGTGACGTCTGTGTCTCGGCCAATAGGTACAATTGGACCCATGCTGTGATTCTTTAATGTAGCAGTTTTCTTTGTCCACTTTTAAAACTTCCCAGCATCCTCTGTGTTTTGTCCCCAGGTATGGACATTATAAACGGGGCCATAGACAACCTCGTGTCATCCACAGGAAAAGAAGACTGGATTCCTGTCATATTGAGTATTGCAGACACAACCGTGGCTGTCATAAAAGAAAAGGCAAGAAATTCAGTTGTTGTCCTGGGAGTAACGAAAATAACAAAAATTTGAATTTGCCTACTAATTGAAGAAAAAGTGTGTGTAGAGCATTAAAGGGGACATATCATGCAAAATCCAATTCTGTAGCCATTATTTCCGTTTTTATGTATGTACTTGGGAGTCTGTAGGAGAACAAAAATMTGCCATTTTTGGTGCTACGTAGATATCTTTATATACTGTTTGGGACGTATTTTTAAACCCGTTCAGTTTTTTCTATTTTCTATGATGTTTTCTGAACTATTATGTCAAATTATTTGTGACAGAACAGATATTTAAGGTCTGGACTTACCAACTATAATTTGGTCATCTTCATTCTCCTCTCACTCTGGGTCAGACTCTGGCTCCAACATGTAAGGCTGGATGGTCCTCCATTGTTGACATCTTTTAATTAATTTGTAAATAAAACGTTTCTGCACTGCTATACAGTCGCAAACCCCTCCATCAGTGCATTGCTCTGGGAGATGGAGGTGGGCGGGGTGTGAAGCYGCTCKTTTGGGTTTAAAGAAACAGCTTTAAAATGAGTTGATCTGAGATGTTTCTAGAAAAGGGGTGAAAGAGGGGCTTGTGGAGTTACAATAAGGAGGAATTCAGACCAAAGTATTGCAGTTTACGTAGACCTCAACTGAGTGATTAAAATGTGGGGAAAATAAAGGATTTAAAAACAAATGTCTCCTTTAATTTTTTTAGTTGTGGAGGTACTGGTACTGCTGTCTTTTATAGTTTTTTTTCTTGGACTTTATTGTTGATCTGCTTCTCTTGTCTTTGTTTTGTGGACTTTGAGTCTGTAACAAAGTTTTGAATTTATTTCTTAACCCGATGGCTGTGCAGGAGGAAGAGGAGGAGGTGCTGGTGGAGTGCCGGGTTCGTTTCCTGTCCTTCATGGGCGTGGGACGGGATGTGCATTCGTTTGCCTTCATTATGGACACKGGGAACCAGCATTTCCAGTGTCATGTCTTCTGGTGTGATCCTAATGCAGGCAACGTGTCTGAAGCGGTGCAGGCAGCTTGTGTGGTACGTTGTGTATTTAATGTTTTATACTAGTATCCCAAAAGGAAATTAGCTGTAGTTTCTTCTAATTTCCCTTCCTTTTTCCTGTCCTGTCTTTCCGCAGCTCCGGTACCAGAAGTGTCTGGTAGCACGGCCACCCTCTCAGCGTGCCGGTTCGTCCTCCTCCCCCTCCTCGGACTCAGTGACCCGCCGGGTGACCACCAGCGTAAAACGCAGCGTCCAGTCTCTCATAGACACTCTGAAACCCAAGAAACAGCCYTCGGAACTCCCCCAGCAATGACCGTCACCACTGGCAACTGCACCCCACCTCAGCCTGGATGCCACTCACACCGTCACCCCCACAGAACACTGAATCAGTACCAGCCATGTAATCAACGATGTACATAAAATAAACCAAACATCACCGCAAATAAAAAGGGAAGACAACYTTTAAAAAAGGAAAACTTACTAGTTTTGTGTGGGGGGAAAAAAAAGGAAAAGTTTGCATCACTGGTAGAACTTTGACCTGATGGCTGCTTTGTCCAAGTCAAAACCAACTCGTTTATGGATTTCGATGATAAATGGATTACTTGATCACTCTGCAGACAGGATTATCCAGAAGAAAAACATCAAATTTCTTCTCCTAAAAAGGCAATGGAGCATCATCTTGGGTTGTTTATTTATTTTTTTGTGTGTTCTTTCCAACTTTGCCCGTCCTTCTGAACTCCTGGACTGGATGAATTACAGTAGCCTTCCAGGACAAAAAAAAAGACATTTTCTTCTTGTGTTCATGAAAAATTTACAAGCCAGTGACAAATATCATCCGAGCCCGAGCACACAAGACTTGTGGTCCGCCTGCAGCTGCTCAACAAATGGCATCAGATGTTTAAAGGGAAAAAAGAAGACAAAAAAGRCTTCTTTGAAGTGATTGTAATGATGTGTGTGCATACGGTTGTGTGCAAAAAGGAATGAAAAAAATAGCACAAACTTTGTAGATAGAAGAAACGGAAGAGATCAGAGGTTCGGTACTAAAAAAAAAAGGACAAAAAGTTGCTTTTGCATGATTTCTTGTTGGGATGGAGGAGATATGATTATTGATAAGTTGTGTCTTGATGAGAAAATTGGTAAACAGAAAAAAAAAATACAGTAGATGCATTTCACAATGATGCATCTTCACTTGTCCATGACTGAATTTACACTGGCACAAGATTATCCCGTTCTCAAATGGCTAACTAGAAAATACTGCCCCCCAGTTTTAAAAATGGTTTTTAAAATCAATTAGGGATTATCTGATCAGCAAAAATGTGTTTTTAATAGATTCTGAGGCTTAAGATTGTATCTTATTTTATAATATAGAAAAAAAAGTCTAACTTTAAAAGCATAAGAATGTTGAAACGCTTCTGTTTAAACTTGACAAATCCCTCAGGAATTTTTATGCAGATACCCAAGATTGCAAGAAAATCCAAGTCTCTGGTAGATGTGAAGCGCTTGTGGCACAACAAGAGCTGAGGGTAAAAAAAATAACACAACAGCTCACAAAAGTATTCGTCATTCTTGTGTGGCACAAAAAAAAGATCTAATACGCACCATTCGCAGAGGATTACAGGTATTTTCTCATCCTCACAAAATCCATCCAGTGTACTCGCACTCACTTTCAAAATACACATACAAACCCACACATACACGGATAGCAGTAAGAAAAAAAAAACAGAGCGACAACAAAAGTTCTGTCAAAAGTTTTTATGACGCCCTCATGGCTGGGGGCCAACACCTGCACTCAGCGTGAACCCAGTGAACGCAGTTTAATCAAAGGGGGGAAAAAATAACAGAACATGAAGAAACGTTTCATTTCTGTTCGTCACTCATCTCTTCACTATGTAAATGTAATCTGTTGTGACAATAAATGCATTAAGAAAATGACCACGCAGAAGCCTCTTCACTGGTGAGAAGAGTCCCAGGTTTTCACAGTGTCTGTAGAGTGACATGACTCTGATCCGACTCCATGAAMATGTGCACTTTGACTTTATTCTGGCAGTTACAATGTTCTTCTTTTTATGGCGAATAAAACAKAAGGTGATGGCAGACGAGACTATTTTATGTGATGTAGCAGTTCAATGACACTTTATATGAACATAGATACAGTTGAATTTATTTAAGTATTTGACATAAATGTAAGTTTTCTGTGGCAGGGTGTGTTTAGATGGTTAAAACAGAGGGAGAGTTTTATCCATAGTCCTTAGAGAGATCGTGGGACACAAACTGAGCTGGTGTCCTTCCACATGTTYAAGCAGGGATTGAACCTTGTTCGACTGTGCTGGTGTGGGCAGGATGAGCACCACGGGCTTCGCGAACTCCTGTTGTGATCTACAGGAATGGGCAATTGGGGCCACGGGGCTGGAAAGAGGACAGGGAGGGTCCAGAGCAGTGGAGGTTAGGTTAAGTTATCTTTAATATCCTCATGGGGKAATTTGTGTCACAGTCAGCAGGAACAAAAACAATCAACCACAAATACAGTAAATAAAACATAAAAACCATCATATAGGTGTGAAAACTACAAACATACAACAATCAACGAGAAGTATTTAAAATGATGATAACAAGCAGGTAAAATGAATTCTTAAATCTGTTGGTTCGACATCTTTTTASAGCAAATCTGCGTCTTMATGGTGAAAGAGAAAACTGTGAAGWGGGGGTGGTTAGGCTCAGCTAGAATTGCCTGAGCTTTCTTCAAGGATCTGTTTCTATGGAGAGCAGTGATGTTATTTAATGGGACATTAGCAATTTTACTGCAAAGACTGACAATGTGGTGTATGCGTTTTTTTTTTGTTTGTTTGTTTTTCTATGTCAATAGCCCATACCAGCAAATAAAAGAAAAAGTAAGAACAGATTCAATAAAACAGCAATAAAACATTCTCATTAAAAACTACTGTCAATGTTAAAACTCCTTAATTTACGATAAAAGTGCATACCTTGATGGGCTTTCTTGCATGGTGGGAGATGAAGGGGTGATTTTAGTAGATTTGCTTTTTTCCGTTTTGGAGGAGGAGGA